TATTTTCCAGCCCAATCAATTTGACCTGCAGGCTCACTAAAAATATTGTGTAGCCTTCTTGAGCCAGTTTGAAAGTAAGGAAATATAAGAACACATTAATCAACCATGGGATGCTCATTTGGAGTAGGAAAGCCATGAAGGTCAAGATGGCTTCTACTAAGTTCGACATCACCTAGACACAGATGACAATGTACCCAGATGGCTTCTATTAAATCGTGGAGCTTAGACACTAGCCTGCCAGAGAGAGTGGATCCAACTTTAGCAGGGATACTACTAAATAGATCTCGAGAATACTTTGGAGCCATTGGGATTAGAAACACCGAAAGAAAAAAAAAATTGAAGAAGGGATGATAAAAGAGGAGAACAGTTAAAATGGAATAGTCACATTATCATCCTCCACAAACTCACCCTATTTATAGAAAACAAAAGGAAGCCAAAACATCATGGAGGTCAAATGCATCATCTAACAGACAAAAAACATGCAAAAAGAGTCATGTAATACAAATAAATTGAGATAGTGAGTTTAAATTTTTATTTATTTCATATGATAATATAAAATATACATTACAAATTTTTGGTAACTACTACGATGTGAGAAAATAGTGAATAAGACTATCAGCCATCACTTCATCCAATAGATAGCCTCACTGAAGCAGTCGTTTATACACCAATTCTCATCTAACCTAAACCTATCTATCTTCTCTATCTCAGTTTATGCCTAAGAGGTAGAGGACGCTTTTTGGATAGCTGGGAGCTTAGCCTGAAGAGAATTCACTTCAACCTGGAGAATGCTCACCTCCAAACGAAGGAGGTTTGTCTAACCCCTTGATAATTCCACACACTTCTCCTAGGCAACTGGTGGGTGCTTTCCCTCATCCTACACCAATTCAGCTGGTCAAGCTATGGGCACTTCCAGTTCTCAAAGCTGTTGCTCAAGCATAGAAGGCTTTTACAGTATGTTAATTTTTGTTATGCACCCTCAACCGGAAGACCTAAATAATATTTTTTAGCCTCAACAGAGTTTTGAAGGTCTTTGGCCAACTTCTCCTCCATTTTGACCTCTGTAATATGATCCACTTTATTTTCAGCTGAGAAGGACTGTAGTAGTTGGGTAAGCTTCATAAAAAATAAGATAAACGCTCAGAGAAAAATGAGGTTGATTAAGAAATGAACACACTTCATACCCATGTTCTAGTCACAATCCAAAGATGTAACAGAAAATCATCTCTCACATAATTTTCACACTTCAATTTTTGGGTGAAGTCCAGTATCTTCCAGAGCATCATGCACGGTCGAAGGCCCAGATGCTCCTTGCCCTACCACTTAAGCCAGGAGAACGAAGACTGGGAAAAAAGACAACAAACCAGCCACGCGATTCCCTTCTTAGGTAAAGAACCTCACTTTTTGGCAACCTTCACCGATCGCCTTAGATATCTCTCCTGAAGAACCCTCCTCCATTCAAGCTTTTATGCTCAACCGCACCAGGAGAGAGTCCGAGGACCCCATTTGATCCTATAGGTCACTACTCCCATTTTTTGAATATTCAGCTTATGTTTCTTCTTGCCTCTAGGATGAGGATCAGGTCCTGTCATCACCTCAATGGCCTTTTTATAGGCAATCGTGTAGAGATTCACGAACTTGGAATGTGATTCATTCATCATGTTGTCACAAGGAAGCAAATGAGTCGCAAGGGGAAACTAGAGAAGAGGATAAAGAAATATTCACTCCTCACGTCCTATTTATAGAAAGCCATGGGCATAAATTTTCAGAAATTTCAATTATTGTCTCATTAAGTAAACATAAATAATCTTGGTTGTCCATAAATAAGATTCTCTTATTCTTATCGCAGCTTTCTCTTTCAAGAAGTAAAAGAATCAGTGAACCAAATATGTACATAGTAACATATTGACATCAATCTCAAAGGACTCTAACGGACTCAGAAAAAGTGGCGTGGTAAGATGGGACTCATTGGGAAAGCAACAGACGAGACCCAAGTAGCTAGCAACCAACCAAAATCCAAGCAATTCAAGCAAACGAAGGACCCCCGAGACATAATTTGACCGACTGCAGAGACCAAGCGACTGAAGTGACCAAGGACTTCTTTTGGCCTGAATTGAACAAAAATATTCACTTCCGTAAGGTGATTTTTCTGATGAACAGATCAACACTCTCCCCCCACCTTCGTAGAATTAGCCAATTGGCTACACCTGTGTTGCCAAGTAATTGGCAAACCCGACTTGAACAGTCGGCTGTCATGGCCGATCGCCTCATCCCAGTCAACCAAATTACGTGGTCGAGGACCCAAAAGATTCATGGACCCTTTCAGGTCAAAATGACCATATCACCTTGGATATTCCCTACTAAAGTAAAGACAACTATGTAATTTCATGTATCATGTCTCTTATAACTATAAATAGAGGACTATGTTAACGATTGCAAAATTCCCTTATTTTACAACTCAATAGTGCAATTTTTCCGTCTTTTACTCTCTCTATTTATGTCTCTTGTTCTACGCTTTATTCCTTGGGTTTGTTCCATAGGAAAAATTCGGATTCAACATGTATTTATAAATCAAACACTTAAACTTTCATATTTTTGAATAATAGTCAAATTTCTAACATTACATTAAAAATATTAGAATTATTTATTTAAAAGTGAAATACAGATTTTTTGTAAGTCAACTTGCACTATTGTTTGTGTGCTTAGACGATTAACCAACGGACATTGAATTCAACATTTTGTATGTAAGAGGTGCGTGCATTTATGATTAAATTTGCTCAAATATATAACGAAAGTAAGGGTTTTTAAATAAAGATTTATGAAACCAAAATGTTATAAATATAAATGTAGAAATGTATGTATTAGGCATATAAATACATAATAATTGTGACATTTATGTAAATTTCTCAAAATAAAGTAGGCCATCATATTTTGAGCATTTATCTATTTTAATTTTCTTTTTTATTCAAGGGATATTTGGTGCTTTTACACGCATACCCCCCTAAAATCTATTTTTACATTTTTACCACCTGAATATTTTTGTCCTATAATAATATCACTATTGAAACCAACATTTTCATCAAATAAGGTGTCATATATGTAAAAAATTATAATTTTTGTTTTAGATATTTAAATACAGCGAAATTGAGTGGTAGGGAATGGCCGATTAAGCTGGGGCCCGTAGGGACTTAGGCCCACCGAAGCTTTATATATATATATATATATATATATATATATATATATATCAAGTGTTGCATTATTTAAAAACAAAGAAATATATATAAAAGATAAAAATAACTATTGAGATAAGATTATATGCCATTTTTTATAAAATATTTTATCTCATAAAATTTTAATAATAGATTTAAGATTATTACTAAAATTAAATTTTAGTACATTTTTAATATCTACTTTTCATAGAAATAAAATTTTATTATGATTTTCTAATTTAAATTTTTTATAAAAAATTTAAAATTACTTTAATTTAATTTAAGGTATATAATTTATAATTTTTTAAAAGATACAATTTTGAATAAAAAGATAGATTAATATCCTCCAATTAAGGAAAAATTGAAAACTATTTTTTTTTATTTTTTATCATTAAATATTCAATATTTAATATTAAATATTAAGTGCTCAAATACAATTTATAATTTACATTTTACCATTCAAACTGTTGCTGCATTAAAATGATTTATTTTAATATGTCAATTGAGAAGTGATCATTTAATTTCAGGAGAATTTACACATGCAGCACCTAATTCTTATACATTTAATTATTTCACAAGTCGCACCCAAACTTTGATTTTTACAATTTAAGCACTTTTGCCTATATATAAAAAGGTGAGATAGATAAATACATTAAAATTAGGGGCTGTAAATTCCCCTTTATTTTATTGATAACTAAAACATTAGTTTTAATATTATTGAGGAAACACTATTAATTGTAATTGTTTTATCACTACTTAATTTATCTTATTACATTAATACCTTCTAATAAAACAAATTAAATTTCACTAATGGTAGTCTTAAACTTGGATTAAAAAAATAGAAAAATTTTTGTAATATATCGCGTACTCAAATTAGTTGGTCAGACATCTGCTTGTCAATTGTAAGTCTCCTCTGGTTTGGGGTTCGATTCTTCCTGGTGGAGCGCATTGTCACCTCCCAAAAGAGCCCTTGGAGAAATGGACAGCCCAAACTTAAATACTGCTTTTTGGCTCTGCATCTAGCTGATGTGGGACTATTTGTCGGTGACATTCTTCTCCTCCCAATCAATCACGTGATGCCCTCGTCACGGATCGGCTCCACCGAGGGTCCCACTAGACCATGGAGAGTCCACACATCTGACAGACAGTAATCTGCTCTGTTAACACTTGTCACCCGAGGGTCCCACTAGACCATGGAGAGTCCACACACCAGACAGACAGTAATCTGCTCTGTTAACACTTGTCACTCTAGGACTTAAATACTGTTTTTTGGCCCTACACCTAGCCGATGTGGGACTATTTGTCCGTGACAGCGTGCCACAAATTATTAGGAGCATTGGGGATGACCGGGGTTCGTATAATAGCCTCAGGTTATTCCTTTTTAATATTTATATATATATATATATTAAAATTACCTCAGTGATTAATATATAAATATGAAAGTTTCCTTGATTTGTATCATGTAATTCATCCTTTTCTCTATTCCCATCGATACAAAGAATTGAAAACACGTCGAACAAGTAACAACGAGGCGATCTTCTGCCGCAATTTTCTCTTTCATTTTATCAAATAAAATCCTTTTATTCCCAAAAAAATTTAGGCATTATCCAGCGGAGATCAGTCTTATTCCATCCATGGCTTCCACTTCACGAAACAATTAACCCATCAGAGAGTAACGTGTAAAACTATAATTGACAGTGATTTTAGTTAATACAATTGACCATATTCTTTCAATAGTCAACATTCATCAATATCCCCACCAACATGGACTATAATTGACAGTGATTTTAGTTAATACAATTGATATCCCCACCAACATGACATTTTTCCCACTAATTTTTCTTATTTATTAATGAGAAATAAAATCATTTAAAATATCAGACGCAATCATTTCTCCTCCTCTCCCAAAAAATAAACCATGTACTCGTCCAATAGAGTATCAATGATTTATTCACTCAAATTCAACATTATTTCATATATTAACTAACTTTAAGTTAAAACATAATAGTGATAGATAAAATTAGTTATGCCCCAGTGGGAAGCTCCTCCACCACTACTCCTCCATGTCCATTCTTCAACTTCATCTTCATCTTCTTCGCCTCACAACACTTACAGCTGATCTCTACCATAGCCCCCATCTTCCTGGCAACAATGACAGAATTAATAACTTCATCATCAGGATGATAAACTGATAGGACCTCAAATCCTTTGAGATCCCCTGGTTCTATTACTGGATACAAGAACATTCTGGCTCCGTGCGCGCTTCGCACCACCAGCATTGCTCCGGGCGCCATGAACCTCGCCAAGTGCTCAACCACCGCCACCTTTTGTGGGGTGTCCAGCCCAACCAATGCCGCCAAGAACACCACCCCGTAGCTCCGAAGCCGCTCGCCGATTGTTGATGCGTCGGCGGTTATGAACTCCATGCGCGAGGCGAGCGATCGCTCGTTGGAGACGAGAGCGGAGGCCTTTGCGGTGGCGGTGGGGTCGATGTCGTAGTTGTGGAAGGAGGAGGAAGGAAAGTGGCGTGAAGCAAGGATGATGGAGGAGAGAGGAAGGGGACCGGAGCCGAGGAAGGCGAAGAGGGAAGGGTGGTGGGGGAGGTGGGATTGAAGGAGGGATGACTCGAGGAGGGAGAGGGAGAGGTAGTTGGAGAAGTAAGGGAAAAGGGGGAGGTGGGGGAGGAGGGAGGAAGAGGAGAGGGAGAGTTGGAGGAGGAGAGAGGAGTAGTGGAGTTCGAGGGAGGATTCGGCTGTGCTGCAGAGGGAGATGAGGTGGGAGCGCATGGAGAGAGTGGAGGGAGGGAGGGAGGTGAGGAAGAGGGATGGGTAGGAAGGGATGCAGGCGGCAACTAGGGAAGAGAAGAGGGAGTTTACCTGCGGCGAAGGGTGGAGAGAAGGGAGATTGGAAATGGCGTTGTAGAGTTCGGTTATGGTGGCGATGAGCTTGTCTTCTTCAGCTGCTATTGCTGTTGCTACTATTGGTTTTTGTTCTTTGGAGTGGGGGGTTTGGGAGATGAGGAGGCAGTGTTGCAAGTTGGCGGCCATAACCATGGTCGTGTGGATGTGTTGATTTGGAGGAGGAGAAGAGTTGGATATGATGTTGGAAGGAAGTAATTGAGAGGAAGCTATGTGTTGGTGGGAGGAAGTGTGGTTTATATTGGTGTATATATAGGGTGAGGTGGGGGCCATGGTGATACAAAGTTAATGGAGAAGTTCTATGGAATTGGTATTTCTTCTGAGAATATAAGCATGATAGATTAAAGTATTATTTATTATTGGAAGATTTACATGCATACAACTCGATTCATGTATTTACATATTTAATAACTAAAATCTTACTTTTACTTATATACCACTTGTCCATTATATCTATTCACATGTATTTCACTTTAAAACAGTCATATTTTTGATCTGATATGAAAAAATTTGGTGGTATAAATTTAAAAATTAAAAATTTAGGGGTTAGATATGCAAATACATAGGAATTTTGGGGTTTGCTTATTATTTTAAAGTTGTTCTTTCAGGATGATTTATATCTAACAGGCATTGCCGTATATAAATAATTTGTGGGATGAGTTTATTTTTTATTAGCTATTTGTTGCTCTAAAGTTGAATATTTCCAATGAATGGAAAATTTTCTTAGGGTCCATGCATGAAAATTAATATTTTATTTATATATATAATGTATGTGTGTGTAATATTTTTAGAGAAAAGTTATATTATAAACTTGAAATTCACCAAGTCGATTGTGCCCTAAACTAAATTAATATTGATTAATTAAATACAACAACATTTTATTTTGGTCTTTATTTACCTAAATATTTCATTATGATTAATAATATGATCTTAATCATTGTGTATAAGTGTTATAAACATGAGGATAAAGAATAGGAATTATAATTTAAAAACATTCATGATTAATAAATTAAATTTGGATATTTAATTTAACAGTAAGTATTAATGTTCTTCTTCATTCTAATCTCCATTCTGATCAATGGGACAATCTTATACATATTATTATATGCAAGTCATTGGGATGACATTAAAATACTTCATATATTATGATTGTATAAAAAAGAAATATGATTGTTTTGTATATCTAACAATTTCATTTTCATATAGGATAGTAAAGTTATATCAACATTTTGATCATATATTCAATGATTAATTTATTTTCCATATTTTGGGAACATTTTTAAAGAAGTACCTGAAATGTTAATTTACCAGATGGAGTCCATTCATTTCCAGTAAAATTTAAATTATAATTTTCTTAACTGTCAATTCAAACTTGAACGATAAAAGGGTCATTTAAAGAGTAATATACTACCTAGAGGGATAGAGTTATTACCTTAAAATGTATCTAACTACTAGGATGAAAATTTTTTTAAAGATTTATTGGTCTGTGTATCCAAAGATTTTTTTCCATACCTTATACGTGTAAAATAAGGTTTAATTTACTCTTGGATCTGGTGTCCCTACATGAGCAAGCCCTCATAGTTAATTATAGCTTGACAGTTATGGCTCCCAAGAATACTCTCGATAAAAGTATTAGCACATATTATGCAAGATTTTATGGTAACTGTCTTGAAGATTGATGTTTCAAGACTTCAAAAGAATAGACTTAGGATTTGAAAGAATTTGTTTGCAATTAAGAGATTGGGACTCACACTCCAATGACAGTGTGTCGTGTAAAAACCAAAAAAAATAGTTAGCCAATTCTGGGGTGAAGACGCACTATGAGGATTATAAATTTGTTGAGAGAGTTGGATATAGTTTGAAAAGTTTGATTTGACTTACTAGGATTTAACCTGAGTTTGCCTTGAGCTTAAAGCTTTAGTTGTTTAGATATGATTTAAGTTTATTGGCTTTAGTTGATTGAAGTTATTTGAAATTTTTTGGAATTCATTTTAGAGTAGTTGAGCTTTATTTATAAAATTTAATGTTTTAGTTAAAATATTTCAAATTTTGAAGTTTTGAAAGTATGTGTTTTCAAAAGATTTTGAAGTTGTAAACAAAGCTCTGACGTTTTAAAAATATTTTTTTGAAAATTTAAAAAATTAAGACTTGAAGACTTAGATTTTTTTTTAAGTTTTGAAGGTTTTTGAAGTCTTAAAGTATTAGAAACTTTGAGTGTTTAAGCTTTTGAGGATTTAAAGTTAAGTTTTGCAGTCTTGATGTTTTGAAAGTTTTTGAAGGGTTATGTTTTGAAGTTTTAAAGTTTATGCTTTTAAGGTATTTAAAGTTAGAAGCCTTGAAGTTTTAAAGGTTTTTTAAGCTTTAAGGTTTAAAGTTTTAAATGTTAAGTTTTGAATGTTTTTGAAACATTTTAGTTTTGAGAAAAAAGGGTTTTGATTTGGGATAGTTTTGAAGTATTAATTATGAAGGATTTGATTTGAGTTGTTGAGGTTTGAATAGATATCAATCGAGCCGATTTGGTTTAATTATTAGGCTTTAATATGGATTGGAAAGATTTTGATTCAAGTTGATGTTTGATTAAAGTGGGAGGTTTGATGTTGTAAGTTTAATTGAAGGAGAATCTTGAGGATGAGATTTTGTTTGAAGTTGAATTTTGAGGTTGAGAGTTTAAATTAGGAGGAATATTGAGGTTGAGAGTTTAATTGAAATAGAACTCTAGAATATGAAATATGATTGGCTTGAAGGATTTCTAGCTGGAAGTGAAAATCTAATCCTGAAATAAATCTTGACTCTATAAGTTGGTTAAATTGGTGGATTAACCTAATTATGTGGTATAATGCCCATAACATTCTATCGTTCCGGGTGAATTAGTATTGCTAAAATTTTAACTGACCACACAGTATAAGGCATCCATTGTTATCATAGCAATATTAAATACTAAATTTTTACTATTAGTTGGTTTGTGGTGACTTTTTCAGTAACTATGGGTATTCATTCTAGAGCACCTATATAGTCCAAGGGGAGCAAGACTATTTAATTTATGTGCCATATACTTAACACTAACAAGGGATACATAGTAAACTAAACTGGGCTTCTAAATTAAAAAAATTCTAGGGAATGTGTGATCCTCAGTTTTTTTTTCTAAGTTGGCTAACCCAAGGTTGACAGGTGATCTATTTAATGGTGGTTCCCGTTGTTTAAGTAGATGAATTTTAGGGCTATTTGGGGCGAGGGGAAGGAAGGGAGGGTTGATATTTAATTCAATATTTGGCTTAACTCCTAGTTTTTTAGTCAATATAGGAATCAAGATATTCTAGGTTTAGAGTTTTGTATTTAGTGTTTTATCCTAAGTTGGTGTTCTTCATTGGTTCTCCTCTTAAGTTTAGTTTCTTGTGTTTGGTTTACATTTCCATGTTGAAGCTGATAAAATAAAAGAGTAGGCCATTTAAGACTTTCAGACTTGCAATCTTCACACTTAAGTTTCATATACATGCTTAACATTTAAGGTTTTATTTTCACATATATAAAAAGTAATATATATAATATATATCTGTGTGTGTGTGTGTGTGTGTGTAAAATTTCTTTATTACACAAAAGGTATTATCAAGCATCTAATATTTTCCAACATGTAGGTGAATCTAATGTGAGAAATATGTAAGTATGAAATGTTTTGGACATAATCATATATGCACATGTTCTTGAAGAAAAATATGTTCACTACAAATTGGACAAATAAACATGGACAAGTCTTATATAAGTTAGCTATTTAGGAGGATTTTTTGTCTGATTCTGTATATTTTTTATTGAAACCCTATGAATTTGGGAAGCTCATGAAATTTTAGAAAATGAAAGGAATTCTAATTTGAAATAGACTTAAAGTTTGTTTCTTTATTAAAAAGGTTTTATTAAACCCTATTTTAAAATTAAAATTTATTCAGGCTTTAGTTTTTTGAAAAAAAATTATCAAGTTTTGGTTTGAAAAAGTTTTATTTGACTTTTATTTTGGAGATATTTAATTTTTATTTAGGTTTTGTTTTGAGGAACTTTTAGTTTTTTTTGTTGAAGAAATTTTGGTTAAGTCCTGAAAAAAATTTTATTTAAAGTCTATTTTTAGAAGTTTGAGTTTTGTTATAAAAATAATTCATTTAGATTCTTATCTGTAAACAAAACTTTTTTTTGAAAGGATTTTGCTTAAGTTTTGTTTTGGAAATATATCATTTCAGTTTGTAATATTTTTTTAAGTTTTAATTTGAAATGTTTTTTAAAATTTTAAAATGAAAAGTTCTATAAAATTCTAAAAGAAAAAGTTATGTTTAAGTTATATTTTTTTTAAAAAAATTATGACTTAAAATGGAAAGCCTTGTTTAGATTTCGTTTTGAAAAGTTTTGCTCAAGTTTTATTTTGAAAAAAAAAATGTTTCAAGTTTATTATGATTTGGAAATGATTTTGAAATTTTTTTTTGGCTTAGTTTCAGTTTTATTTTGTTTGAAAAATATTTTATTTTATTTTGGTTCAAGAAGATTATTTTCATTTTTTAAGAGGTTTACTCCACCTTTAATAGTTAAGTTTAATTAATTCAAAGTTTAAGGGAATGAGCTTATGAAGATATTTTGAATTTGAGCATAGTTAAATTTGCACCACATTACTTCCTCCCTTAGACCTCACTTTAAATTTCAATAAACTTTATAAAAATATTAAATTTAAAGCTTATTTATATATATATTTTGTGAAAGAGTCAATTTCTTTTATATTAATTATCGTGCTCCATTTATATGAATTTTTTTAAATCATTTCATAACTACCTAACCCATAAGAACAAGCCCAACACAAGTTCTCACATTAACATATAAAACATAACAACTTGGATATTTTTCTTACATGACATGTAAGTATCTTAACTTGCTAACATGCATGGAATTTTTCTTTAATATGATACACAAAGCTAACACATAAAGATTATTTTTATGGATAAGACCTAAAGCTAAAACATGAGAATTTTTGTTTTGTATGAGACCTAAAGATAACAAAGAAAAATTTTGATTTTATATAAGTTGTAACATTGCCACCTATAAAATTTTCATTTTTGTTTTTGCATGAGATGTACACATAACAAATGGGATGTTTTCCTATTGCATGAAACATATATATAAGCACATAAAAAATTCATCTTTTACATGGAACATACACATAACACATGAGAAAATCCTCTTTT